TGTAAAAGAAATCCCACACATAACAGGAAACCCCCCCCCCCCCCAAAAAAAAAAAAAAAAAAACAGATCTGTTCGGTGTGGTATTTCGGATATTATTTTCACAGCTTCTGCAGTCTGGAGGATCATGTCGTATTTTATCCGAATTTTACGTGATTGAGGTGAAACGTGTCTTAATTCTGGACCAGAAAAGACTAGACGCTGTAAATCAGGACGTAAACAATGACTGAAAATTATGGTTATGAATTTATAAATCGCAGTGTCTGGCTCTGACTACACATCCAAGCAAAGTTTCCTACATAAATTACAGTAAATGCTCCACAAAAAGCCATCGCTATCAATTAATCTTTCTTTTTATGATCATGTGACAACAATACTATCGGCTCTCATTGCTGAATAAACTTCCCAAATCCAAAACGGCTCAATCCACTATTACTTCCGTAAACAAAGCGCTGCTGTGTGACGTCAACGTTCTTCTTCTGCGCATGCGGGTTGCTTTAGGGCCGTTAGCCATTTATACAGAAATCTTGTTGTTGTAGCGTTTAATTAGTAGCATGTAGGGAATTATCAGCATGATGACTTGCTGTGTGAACGTAGCGTAAAGTCCTGATTCAGGATTAACATTTGACGACTTCCTTCCGTTTTCTTCAGCTTCCCCGACCATTCCGCCGTCGATTTCCGTTTGTTGGAGCAGCGAAGGCGTCGGCGTGTTCTCCATCCTGCTGAAGGGAGGTCACCCCAAGGCCAAGCTACTCTGGTCAGCGGGGGGACCGACTTTCTCTCCGTTAGTGTCCAGTGAGACAGAGGAGATCGGAGATGACGGACAGAGAGAACTGAAAAGTGTCTGCGCCCTGGAGAAGTCCGCAAACCTGCCGAGAACACCGGACAAACCGGAGAGACGCAAGAATGGCCACGCAATAAGTAAATATATCATATCAACAGCCTAATACAATAACCTGTTCATGTATTTATTTATTTTTGCCAAAATCACTTTTGGCACACAAAAAAAGACAGGCTAATATTTTAGGATTTGATGATTTTTTTTATACCCATAAAAAACTTTTTATGAGTATCTTTAATAAGCTGTACTTATTACTTATTTTTATTTGAGTATTTTTATTGTGAAGTATCGCTGCTCTTTCTTCAGTGAAATTTCTGGGTAATCGACCCACTGTGAGTAACTTCACTGAATGAAAAACAAGTTTGTTTCAACCAAAAATTCACCAGACATAAACCTGCAGTTTTCATAAGTTTTATAACTTGTGAAACTTTAATTGTGTTGTTAATATGACTAATTTTCATTTTGTTAGTTCATTTAGATCCCCATTCCTCAATGACAAACAATGGCTACTCTTCTTGGGGTCCACGTCATAAACAAAACGTTTACTGCAAAAACAGTAAATGCACAATCATACCACTTTATATAGTAAAGTAATTAAGCTATATTAGAAATATAGTATACTTTCATAAATGTACAATTATAACCCAATGTAATAAAAACATTAAGCAGGGCTCTTTTCTTTTTGACCTTTAAAATATCAAAATTTTCACACAATTTTATATTGTGGTCCATCTGGTTATGTAATTTTTAAATATTAAATAATTGATGTCTTGATCAGTTCAGTAATTGAGTCACCTTTTCTGGAATGTAATTCGTCTTTCAGAAACAAAAGCGGCTGTCACAGACCCCGACACTGAAGGCATAGAATACATAGATGAGAAGGTGGACAGAGAGAAGGACAGGGATAAGGAGACGATATCCGAGTCGGAGGAGGACGAAGAGGACAGCGATAAGGAAGCCGCCGACGCGCTTCACATCAACAAAGTCAACCTGAGGACGGGTCTGAGAGACGGCGAGAGGGAACGTCTGAGAGTGTGTGTGGAGATCACACACCCGGCACTCAAGATTCCTGTTTACCGGACGTGGACAGGTGAGACCCTCAGTAGCACACCTTTCATTTAAAGGGGCAGTGCTACGTAAAATTTACTTTATTGAGCTTTGCATCTTATTATGTTATTCTGTCATCAAAACCATTCCTGGAGTGTTGCCTTGATTCTTTCATGCATGTTTGAGAAATCCTTTAGTCTCCATGGCAACCATTCAGCTGTTCAAAACGCCTGGGTGAACTTGGCTCTGCCTTTGAGGCACAGCCCCTCCCCCACTCAGCTCCTTCAGACTAGCNAGCAGCAATTAGCAAACACCTGGTGGAACTGCTCATCTGCTGTGGTACTTCCCAGTGAAACGCTGGTAAAAACCTTTAAAGGGTTTATAGAGGAACCATGTTGGGATGACTTCCTGAAGGCGGAGCTTCAGAAAGAACAGGAGTTTTTAAAGAGACAGAGACCCAATTATTGACTGAAAACAAGCTCCTATATCTTGCTGAAAAGTGACTTTTGGATTAGTTTTGTCTTATTTCAAGTTTACTAAGTTATTTTCACTAGAAACTACACCAAAAGTAGTTGGATTAAGATTTAGTGTTTTTGCAGTGCAGTGATAAAACATTAGAATGAAGCATGAGGGGGAAGCAGAGCCTCTTATTTATCTCTTCCAAATGTAAGAATTTATTAAAACTATTTCAACTTCCAACTAAAATATTTTATTCAACAAACTTTAAATATCAACCATAATAACGTGAAACTTTTCTACTAACAGACAAACATTTCTCAGATGAAGAAATATTTACCAGTTAAGAAAGAAACTCCCACACTCAATAGGAAGTTTGCTCATCTGTGTTTTTCTCTTTCAGAGCCCAATGAGGAAATTTCATCCTCTGCATGAAGAAGATTCACATCTCTGCTTCCTTATTTCACATCCCTTGTAATGTATCTGATGTGATGTATTTATCTCTGAAGCTTAACAAAAATTACAGCATTCAGCTGCATCTCACATGTTTCCGCTGTTAGATGAGGGTCTATTTATATCTCTAGTCTTTTGTCTTTTACTTTCTTCTAAACTTTGTATGTTTTTCCCACAAAAGTTCCTATTTTTGTATGAATAAGCTGACAATAAAATAAAAACTAAATCATGTTGACCTGGATGTGTTTTGTTGTTTCTGCAGCTCTGGTGTTTAAAGTTATGTGAAAAAGATGTAGCCGTTACGGTTACCTGCCAAGATTAGTTCTTGTTTCAAAATATACTTCTGTTTTTTGTTTTTTTTATGCTCTGACCACAGGAGCAGCTCATTACTCATCTCTGCATAGGTGCTGCAGAGACGTGGCGTCCTTATTTACAAATTTATGTCACATTGATCACTTTTTGCACTGTTTTATTAAATGCCACTCAGTGTTGCAGGACTGTGTTTATAAATTCTGTATGACAACATTTTGGTGTAAGTTGTACTTTCGGAAGCCATGAAGCAATACTTCATGAGGCAGTGGACTTGAAACAGGAAGTGGTTTCTGGTATTAAGGCACGTTGAAGTTTTAACCAGAATCTGCTCCGTTTGCCAAGTTTGGGTCGCAAACGAGGAATTTCTTTTCTCTCACACTGAAGACGTTTTAAACCTGCAAAAACTGCTTTTACAGATCAATCGTGATTAACTAAATGTGACTTTTTTGACAAGAAGAACCCTTTAACGTAAAATGAAAACTAATGACAGTTAAATAAAGACGTGTAGCGTAAATATTCACCCCTATAGTTCTGTTCCACTTTGACTTCAAAAAGTATTCAACACCTTGAATGTTTTACTGTTTCATTGCTTTTACAAATTAATTATGATCAACAAAATGTAACTTTTTTGCCAAAAAGAAAACTGATTTCTACAAAAATAATAATTAAATGAAAATATGTAACATGAACTAAGTGAGTAAATATTCACACCTTTCTGTTCTGTAATTATTGATTGCACCTTTGGATAAATCAGATAATCTTTGAAAAAAAATGGAGCTCCTCTGCCATCTCCCAGCAACAACGACAGAAATACACTACTCAGTCAGAAACAACCAATCAGAGCGAGGAGGAGGGTCTTAGCGCCGTCAATGACGCTTGCGTATACCTCCTTTCTCTCTACACTACAGCTTCTCCCTGCCAGGAATGCTAACGCTGGTTAGCATAGCCACTGTTGACAGCAGATAAACAGTTTTCCTGGAACTATAAGTTGTTTCGCCGCCATTAGCGGATTTAGCAGCGCATAAACGAACATGATTGACAGCGCTAAGACCCTCCTCCTGGTTCTGATTGGTTGTTTCTGACTGGGAGCTGTGCTTTTCTCCAGAAGGCAATGGTGGCGATGGGAGGAGAAAGATTCATTCACAGATTATCTGTGTCACATTAAACTGTCACAACATGGTGACAGCTGTAATAAATAAGTAAATAAAAATTCCAATACTGCAGCTTCAAATATTTTTATTTAAATGTCATCATGTTGCAAATAGAAGATTTCATTTTTGGAACATTTTTTTTTTCCAAAAATCTAAATATTTTTTGCTTTTGTTATTTTTCTTCCTTTATTATATGTTTTGTATTTTAATTGAGTTTTGATATTTGTAGTTTTTTGTTATTCTCTATTTTGTCTCTTTTGAAAAATATTTTAATCTTAGTGAGATTACATACATCTAGAATTTTTTTATTTTACTATGATTGATTTTAAAAAGCACTAAAAGTATAAAATGTTGCAGATATGTTTTATAAATAAGTATGTATATATACACTATTTAAAAAAAAGACAAAGTTGAAGTAGAGCAATATGCATGGCATCGATCTGGGCACTCTGACTGTTAAGTGCTCATTAGAACGACAGGAAGCGATGCTCGGATGTTAGCTGCACTTTTTATCCAATCAATCAAAAATGTATTGATTTAATGCAGAAGATTATGTTACAGTTTAAACAGATGAAACAGTAACAGCAACTAAACAGTAATGGATAAAACACAGAGGGTTCAAACCAGTTATATTTTGGATAATTCTGTTATTTTGAGTTTTTCATGTCTGCATGAAACACTAAGTAATGCACCTCCCCTCCCCCACCTGTTGCTGTGCACTACCAGACAGCTGAAAAAAGGCTTCAAATTTATTCCTTTTGTTACAAGAAAGGAAAAATAAACGAGTTGTTTAGGAATATTTCAGGTTTAAATTTTGGAAATATGAAAAATAAAGCTCATTCTCAAGCAAATCAGCAGAGATGCATCAGAAATAATCACATAGTCAGCCTCACTTTACTGGAAGTAGGCCACGCTTACAGAGGTTTCAGCCGGCCACAGCTATAAGCAGAAAGAAACCACTAACAGCTAAACTCTTTAGCTCTTCTCAGCTGCTGATTTGCTGAAGCCTCCAGATCTATTTCATGTCGTCAGACTCTGTTATGCTGCTGGTCAGCTGCTTTCTATTCTTGCACATTTCAGATCATCAAATAAACGTTGACATCAGTTAAAAATGACCTGAGTAAATAAAAAAATGCTGAAATCACTTCAGTAGAACCTGTCTGACAACAGGAAGTAGATAAAAGATCTAGAAAAGCAACATTTTATGGTACAGAAATTCAAACCAGTGAGAAAAAAAGCACACCAGTTTCTTCAAAC